GATAGAATGTTATTTTTCGGTCAAATTGTATCAAACTTTATCCAAGCATCTGAGCTATGTTCCAGTATTATTTTGGGTCTACCTATATCAGAGTATAGTCTACATTTTTAAACTTTATTTAAATACTTTTTGTTTGCGTCTGTCAGAATATTTCCATCGTTCTGAAGTTGATTCAATGTTATTTTGATGAGTACTCGTGAAAAACATGTTCTAAAGTATGTTTGTATGTTAAATTGTCTGTATGTTAACTTGTCTGTATGTTCACTTGTATGTATATTCTCTTGTCTGTATGTTAACTTGTCTGTATGTTCACTTGTATGTATATTCTCTTGTCTGTATGTTCACTTGTCTGTATGTTAACTTGTATGTGTATTCACTTGTCTGTATGTTAACTTGTCTGTATGTTCACTTGTCTCTATGTGCACTTGCTTGTGTGTTCACTTGTCTGAAAATTATATTGGCTGTATCTTCACTTACCTGTGTTTTCTTGTCTGTGTGTCCATTTTTCTGTATATTTTATTGCTTTTATGTTCACTTATCTGTGTTTTATTGTCTGTGTTCACTCCTTTATACAACGTCAGTAAAGTACAAGAGTTCCAACCACTGATCACTTGTTTTTATCTTCAAGTAGTTTCTTATGTAAGCAACCATTATCGCTAAACTGGGTTTCAAAATTGTGAATTTATAAAGCAAAACACTTCTGTTGTATCACTTTATCAGTTGACTGCTATAGTCCAATAAATATCTCTCTTACACATTGCCTGTTTGCTATGGTCCAATAAATATCTCTGTTACAAATAACTGTTTGCTATGGTCCAATAAATATCTCTCTTTCACATGCCTTTTTGCAATTTGATTATTGATGAGTGTTAAACAATGGGCTATCTGTGCTCTGCCCACCATGGCTACCGAATCCCGAATACTTACCGCTAATCCACTGGGGGTCGTCTGTTTTTAAAGCGTGAGAAGTTTCTTGAAGATCCCCAAGGAACGAAACGACTTAGTAACCATTTTCCATAATACGTGGAAACGTTAGTACATAACAATATAATAATGGCTGGAGACGGCTTGAATGGGTAATGAAGAAAAACTTTAATATAAGTTTAACATAACAGCAAATGTACAACGTTACGACAAGGTTTTGTCATCATTAGGTACATAACAATATAATAATGGCTGGAGACGGCTTGAATGGGTAATGAAGAAAAACATTAATATAAGTTTAACATAACAGCAAATGTACAACGTTACGACAAGGTTTTGTCATCATTAGGTACATAACAATATAATAATGGTTGGAGACGGCTTGAATGGGTAACGAAGAAAAACATTAATATAAGTTTAACATAACAGCAAATGTACAACGTTTCGACAAGGTTTTGTCATCATCAGGTACACAACAAGTTATAGAAACAGATTGATAGCGAAAAAAAAGATTTTTGACTAGACATTGCAAGAGAGAAAAGTATCCTGCAGCTCCTGACTCTGCATTAGACTTTAACTTAACACACGTAAAACGTAATTAATTAACAGTTGAGATTTTTTGTTGACAACAAATTTTAAATAGCGTGCACCTTTACTTCTGTTGGCTCGTGACTTGTAAGCTCGTATTATGCGGTGTTGTTTCCTCGCGAGCTAAGCGTTTCCACGAGCATCTTCGTGTTCGCCTTCAGGACAGAATATTGAATTTATTAACGATTTCTGGTGGGCAGACCTCTTCCATTTACTGAACACATTAGACGAATTCAATCAGACCTTCCCAAATATTTGCTAAGCCTCACTCTCTGTTCTTATTCTCCATAAAAATTACCTCTCTTTCGAAGACCTATCTGAATGACGTCATGTACGTTCGGCGCGAGACGAAGGACGGACTTTGTCGGCGTGAAATATAAGTGCTATTGCGAATTTAATAATACACAACGAAAGAAAATCATTCTGTATTAGTAAAATACTTATTGAAATTATTTATCCTAGAACCCTTTACCAGATGTACAAAATGACTGCAGCCATTCATGTAGAAATCAATCAATCTCGAACAAATCTTATGTGATGTGTTGCACGTTCAGGCCTAATTGACGGGTTCTTCAATTCACTATTATTATACACTGTTCTCACTGTTGTTCTAGTAGAATACATTAGAGGCTTTGTTTGGGGTAATAATACACGGGCGTATCCTTTCTCTTCCATTCGCTGACAGTGTTTCCAATTACCTCAAAAGCTCTTAAGTATATGAGTTTATTTCTCGTATAATGACCCACCATAATATTTGGTATAGATTCTCTCATTAAAAGTTAACGAGCAGAAACCTAAGCTGATGTAAAAAATCAATATATCTCTTGTTTGTGTATTGATATATTTTGTGTGGTAAAGATTTATGTCGAAATTGTAAACGATCAGAATACTTATTTCGAGTTACTACTTTTTTAATAAAATGTTTTACTCATTCTCCCTCTCACACATACCACTCCCCCACCCCCACCTGTGGTTTAGCGGGGAGTTTCAGGTATTGCAACGCTAATCCCTGCGTTTGGCACAGCGCAGAGAGCTATATCGTACACCATTAAGCTTAAACCAAAACATATCACTCACATACATATACATATATATATATATTTCTTTTTGATTTTTATTAAAACAAGGTTTTAGTAAAGTTTATAGTAAAGTTGCCCGACTCGCAATCAACGAACATGCTCGCCCTTTCAGCCGTGGGAGGCGTTACAATGTAACGGTCAATCCCGCTAGTTGTTGGTAAAAGAGTAGCCCAAAAGTTGGCGGTGGATTGTGTTGTCTAGGTGCCTCCGCTCTATTCTATCACTTTCAAATTAAGGGCGGCTAACGCAGATAGCCCTGTTAAGCTGCCTTCTCTCTTGTCTATCACTTCCAAATTAAGGGCGGCTACTGGGTGAGCATGGGGTTCTTGTATTGAGATACTTTGGATTAACAGAAGTCCATTTATTTATAAAATACATAATGGGTTATATTCGACTCTCATCGATTGTTATAAATAAGCTTTGAACATTCGTGTTACTCCCAGTGGCTCAGCGGCAAGTCTGGAGGCTCACGATACTAAAATTCGGATTTCGATACTGTTGGTGGGAGCAGCACCAATATTCATTGTGTAGCTTTGCGCTTAACAACAAAGGAATTAACAGACACTCATGCCCATACGGTGTACAAGAATATACGTTCTCTGAAAATTGTATTTAGTTTCGGCTTCATACTGTCGTGATAGAGTTACGCTTCAGCTTCAACTGAGCAACGCTAATGTAGTACGTGAAGTTAGGCCTATATACGACGCTCAACAATATAGTTTGCAACATCGGTTTAATATGATGTATTGTTGAGTCTGTTTACGCTGTACATAATATCTTGTGACACGTTTTGCACGTTATTCTTGTGTTTTAATGATGGCCGAAACAGGATGGAATCCTCGAGAGAGAGAAAAACCGAAAAGTTGATAATGTATTTCAGTTCTTATGAAGGCCGTAATTTTGTAAATAATGATATGGATTCCTCGGTGTGAGATTCATAAATAAATAAACTATCATGTAGTGTCAGGTTAAACCAATTGTATACAATGTGTCATTTCCTATGTAGGACGATCTTTAGGTTAAACCAATTGTATACAATGTGTCATTTCCTATGTAGGACGATCTTTACAAGCTATCAACTGGAAGAGTTGGAAAAAGCTTTCAAAGAAGCTCACTACCCAGACGTATACGCTAGAGAAATGTTATCTTTGAAAACTGACCTACCAGAGGATCGGATACAGGTGAGGTCGTAAATTAGAAGTAAACATTTGTTAGGTGCTGACTTACCAGAAGATTGGATATAAGTGAGATTGTAAATTAGAAGTAAAACATTTGTTAGGTGATGACCTACCAGAAGATTGGATATAAGTGAGATTGTAAATTAGAAGTAAAACATTTGTTAGGTGCTGACTTACCAGAAGATTGGATATAAGTGAGATTGTAAATTAGAAGTAAAACATTTGTTAGGTGCTGACTTACCAGAAGATTGGATATAAGTGAGATTGTAAATTAGAAGTAAAACATTTGTTAGGTGATGACCTACAGTAGATCGGATTCAGGCGAAGTCGTAAATTAAAATTAAGAGATTTGTTATGTGAAACATATAACATGATCGTTTTTATGGTCACAGATGGTGTTCCAGATATACATCGTCCAGGCGAGATTTTATTTGTAATTTTAAAAGTGAAAAAAAAAGAAGAAAGAATTAAACAGTTTTCTGTGAATGAAGTGTCTTTAATAGTTTGAATGGAGTGTTTGTAATAGTTTGAATGATGTGTCTAATGGTTTGAATGAAGTGTCTTTAATAGTTTGAATGATGTGTCTTTAAGAGTTTGAATGGAGTGTCTTTAATAGTTTCAATGGAGTGTCTTTAATAGTTTGAATGATGTGTCTTTAATAGTTTGAATGAAGTGTCTTTAATAGTTTGAATGGAGTGTTTGTAATAGTTTGAATGATGTGTCTTTAATAGTTTGAATGGGGTGTCTTTAATAGTTTCAATGATGTGTCTTTAATAGTTTGAATGAGGTGTCTTTAATAGTTTCAATGGAGTGTTTGTAATAGTTTCAATGATGTGTCTTTAATAGTTTGAATGGAGTGTCTTTAATAGTTTGAATGATGTGTTTGTAATAGTTTGAATGGAGTGTCTTTAATAGTTTGGATGAAGTGTCTTTAATATTTTGAATGGAGTGTTTGTAATAGTTTCAATGGAGTGTCTTTAATAGTTTGAATGGAGTGTCTTTGAATAGTTTGAATGGAGTGTCTTTAATAGTTTCAATGGAGTGTCTTTAATAGTTTCAATGAAGTGTCTTTAATAGTTCGAATGAAATGTCTTTAATAGTTTGAATGAAGTGTCTTTAATAGTTTGAATGGAGTGTCTTTAATAGTTTTATTGTAATAAGAAAACACTAAATTTCTGTGTTGAGAGACGTTATTAGAAAGAGTGACATTTTAACTGGTTGGTTGATTTGAATATGATAAAATAAACGACGAACCTCAATGGAAATGTGGCACAAACTGTGTAACTATTTATACTCGGAGTTTGTGAGAAATAAACTTTATCACTTTAATAAAATAATATTATATCAAGAATTAAAGCTCACTTCTTGGGGTCAGTAACAGTATTTGTAAATATGCAAAAATTCAACTTTCTCTCTTCAGTTTGTTTCGAAATAAATATGTATTGATTGTTACGAAACATTCTGTTCTATATCGTTTGCGTTACATGAATTTCTTTATCCTGAAATGTATATTACACTTTGGAACTTATTTGTCTACCAGTTGAGTAAGATGTGTTCAGAATTCAGAGAAACGAGATTTACTTTATCTGAAGCGTAATAATGTGGCCGGTAAGTGACGTGGTCAGTATCCGTCCGGTGCTAGGTGGTGTTGCTCTCGCCACTTAAAGATTGAAAATTTCAAATGGACAGTTCTTCCTCGTTCCGCTATAATCCCAGACTGACCTTGGTCACTCTGATCTTTTCAAGGAGTGTTTGCTTTGTTGTTACACACAAAGCTGCACAATGGTCTGTCTGCCGTCTGTCCGTCGGGTTTTATTGTTGTAATTTATGGCTGAATGAACATCTACTACACGTTTAATATAAGTTGTTCCAACAGGTCTACCCGGATGGTAGGAAATATTTATTGAATTAGCTACATCCATTCATCACTGGCTGTCTAAACATTTTCCACGTTTAGCATTTAAAGTGGGAACAAGTACAACATTTGACTACACTGTATTCCAAAATATCTTTATATAATAAAAACATTTTATAAAAATACCACATGAAATCATTGTAATCAAAAATGTAAAAGCAGATGACAAAAGCATAAAACAATAAACAGGAAATAAATTATCATTTTAAATGCCTGAAATAAGTTATAATTTTGAACTGCCTTCCGGTGTTTCAAATAAAGCCATTAATATCAGATCAAGACTAAGAAAAAATTAATTGTCGTGTAAAGTGGGGGACGTGGGAGGTTGATTCGAAGAGTAATTAGTTGTAATTTACTTGAACCTAATTTCATCTGAAATGTTTATTAAAAATTCCTACGAACAATAATTTTACTCTGAGTGCTCTAAAGGATTCCCTCTATGTATTCAGACACTATGATACACAAGTGGTGTATCTTGTGGAACGGAAACCAGGTTAGGAGAGAATACGGTTGACCCGTACTCAATATCTGGTTACATCTGCCATGTTTAATGTTGACTGGGGAAACTACACTGATTATCAAGCTGTAGCGCAGAAATCAAGTTAATTGAATTATGATTCTATCCCCGCTAGAGCATCAGCGCTGCTGGTGTTTGGTGAGGCTTCCAAACCGTGCTCATGCCTGTCAACATATATATTGATTCTAGGGTGGATAGTAGCAGACTACTATGGTTAGAACGTTATAATTTGATATAAAATGATGAATTCTCATTGCTCAAGGCAAGGGACTGTTGAGCCGTGACAACTACGACTATTAGCTGTCTTAAGCGGTTTCAATACGTCAGATTAGAGAGACGTCACACAGAACATTTTTCCAACACGTTTTTGTAATGAAGGCAGCGTAAGAATCAGCTCAAACAGATCACTGATAATCATTTTAATCTCTGTTGTATACATAATAATATTAAATGTTTCTTCAGAAAATACAAACAGCAGCGGCCTCAGGTGGGAACTTTACATCTCTTCAGTCGTGAACAAAAAAAAATCCAATTGTTTTTAAATGTTTTTCATGATTACATTTTTACGCAGAAATGTAGGTTTAGCTTAAGTTACAAAGGTTAAGAATAGTTAATAATAATCCACGTTCTCACACTACTACTAGTTGTAGGCTTATGAAAAATATCACCAAACCCCCATATTCGATGATTTGGGTGAAAGAAGAGAGGTTATTTAAACGTTGACACAATAGTCGTGTTTTTAAGCCGCTTACTGAAATGGAATATTTAATATATCTTTTGTTTACATTATCTTTTTTCGGTGGTTCAACACTAAAATTAGGGTTTGATTACTGCGGTGGGCAGTATTTTGCAGCTTCGCGCTAAACAATAAAATAAATGTTACGTATCTGCTCGTTTCATAATTTCCCGTAAAAATTCTTTCCGAGAAACTTCAGCGATTCAAGTCATTTCTTAATTAAAACTAGTTTCTTATTTCTCGTTATAAGCTTTGTAATACTCTTAATTTCCACAGTCACTTTAACTACAATACACGCTATAATTCACAACGATTCACACACTTTACTTACGGTCACTACCGCTCACTTGACTCAATTATCTGTCTCTATCTCTCTATCTGCAATTATCTATGCCGTCACTTCTCCCCTCCGCTTTATTTGCCGGGCTTATATATACAAAAATAGAGGGCGTCTGGCAAACACTCGAGTCTTCGCAATCCTTCTAGAAACTCATCACGTGTTACCAGGGTCACGTGACTTCCGCTGTCGTAACACTGCCCCTTCCTTAGAATTGTTCGTCCCGAACAATAGCCACTTACATTAACCCAATAGATAATTAACAATAACTTGATTAAATGTACAGAATTTACAAACACAAAATTGAAATAAAACAAAGTCTCTTAATTTTACAGGACGTTTCTTCTTTCGTACTTGTCCCCGTCTCGTTGGCCTCTGCCTCACGTGGAGCTCATCTGCTCCATCAAGAAATGTCCCATTATCGGTAACAGACACATCAGTGGTAGTAACTTCATAAAGGGCTTCATTGTTTCCCTTCTCAAAACCGGGTAGAGTTTATTCTTCGACAATGTCTCCTTCAGGTGAGACGTCTTCAGCAGCGTCATTTGTTCCACTGTTCACTTCGTTCCAACTGAAATGTCCTGGACCGTGATAACGCCAAAGCCTGTTGGCATGCATCACCTTTGGATTACCTCGCCGACCACATTTGATTCGAAAAGTCACGTCTGAGAGACGATCCACTATGTCATATGGGCCCTCCCATGGAGCTGACAACTTAGGAGACATCCCTTTGGTCTTCCTTGGTTTATAAAACCACACCTTGTCTCCTGGTACAAAGCTGACTTCAGTAGATCTCTTATCATAACATAACTTCATCGAATCAGCAGACGTTTTCAAGTCTGAATGCACTTGATGATGAATATCATCCATCCTTTCAGATAACACTTTCACGAATTTTGACACATTTTCAGGCAACTCTTCATAAGATGGGTATCCTGTTAACAGATCCACTGGCAACCGAAGTTCCCGACCAAACATCAACTTTGCTGGAGTGTATCCAGTGGTTTCATGCTCTACTGTCCTATAGGCCATCAACAATGGAGGGAGTAAGCCATCCCAGTCATCTTGGCGGCTATTACAAAACTTTGCCAATTCCTGTCTAAGCGTCCAGTTGTACTTTTCTACCATCCCATCAGACTGTGGGTGAAATGGCGTTGTTCTGGTCTTTCGTATGCCAAACAAATTGCAACATTCATGGAACACAGCTGATTAAAAGTTACGGCCTTGATCTGAATGCAGTTCATATGGCGTACCAAATCTGAAGAAGAAATCACTAATAGCTGAAGCTACAGTTGTAGCTTCCTGATTTGGTATTGAATATGCCTCAGGCTACATGGTGAAATAATCCATCACCACACAAGTGTACCTGTTTCCAGCACGAGTTTGGGGCAAAGGACCAGCAATGTCAACAGCTACTCTTTCCATTGGTGCGCCAGCTTGATATAACTTCATTGGAGCACGTCCCTTATGCTTGGGTCCCCTTTTAGCACAACATGTA